AGATACTTTGCTGCTGCTGCTGCTACAAAGCATGCAAAGAAAGCCAACAAAGTTGCCAAAGAAAAAACACCAGGGGAAAAGAGAGATGAGATAGAAAAAATAAAGTCATACCCGTACACGGAAGGTGAACCTGAGGATGATGTCTATTTAAAGCGCTTATACTCACGGCCCATATATGAGGTGGAGAAAGCTGTTCACTTACTTAAGAAGTATCAAATTTTGGACTATACTAATCCAAAACAAGGAGTTTTTCTTGATTTAACATTGGATATGGCACTGGGGAAAAAGAAGAGTGGAACCATTTGCCAGTGTATTAGTTTTCCATATCCGTTCTCTTTGGAATCCAATAAAGTTGCTGTATTAACAGGGAATCCATCAGATATTGAACTGGCAGAAGGACAAGGAGCTGCGTTTGCAGGAGGAGCTACTCTGATCCAGAAGATTTTAGATGATGAAATTTATGCAGATTTTTATGTAGCTGTACCAGAAATAATGCTTGACCTTAATCCATTAAAGAAGAAACTGAAAAACAGATTTCCAAAGCTCAGTAGAAATTCCATTGGCCGTGACATTCCCAAAATGCTTGCATTATTTAAAAATGGACATGAAATTAAGGTAGATGAAGAAAAGGAGAACTTTCTTACAACCAAAATAGCAACGTTGGATATGTCATGTGACCAGATAGCAGCCAATCTGCAGACAGTTATTGATGAAGTCTGCAGGCACAGACCACTAAATCTGGGTCCCTTTGTGGTCCGTGCTTTCCTTCGTAGTTCAACAAGTGAAGGTTTACTATTAAAGATTGATCCATTTTTGCCTAAAGTAGGAACTGAAGAAAATAAAGAATCTTCCTAAAAGTATTGAATTGTGAAATTAATTTGAGTGGATTAAGAAGCAACAGAGAAAATTATAAAACTGCATAATTTCAAAAAAATAAATAAATAAATAAATAAATATTGGAGTGCTCCACCGTTGAGGTATAATCCCAGATGTTGCTGGGGTTTTTTAATGCTGAAACAGGGTCTTACTAAGTTATCTGGGCTGGCCTTGAATTTCTGATCCTTGTGCCTCAGCCTCTTGTCATATTGTGTATGTTCTAAGCTCTTTCTGTTTCTGAAGTTCCTCTCTGTGGCTGTGCACAGCAGCTGTAGTTCATTGCTCTATGACATCCTATCATATAAAGACACCACAACTTATCAAACTACTGTTGAACACTGGGGTCATTTTCAGTTTTTGTTAATGCAAGCACAGAGACTATAAAATGTTATTGCCTGTGTCTTTAGGGTATATGCCTACAAGTAGGATTGCTGACACGTTCATATACCCTGAGATACATATTCAACTTCAGCAGCAACTTTAAGTCTTTTAATACCACCCCCATAGCAGCTCCTGTCAGTCCACAGCCACACCAACTCTTAATGTTGTCTAACTTAAAATTTTGCCAATTCACTGGACATGAAATCTTATTGTTTTAATTCCTGTTTTCCTGATTATAGTAAACAACTTCTATGTTTATGAGCTACTTCTGCTCCTTTTATGAAATTCCTATTTCTTCTGCCCATGTTTTTAAAATTTGGCTACCTTTTTACTTTTTTATTTGTAAAAGATCTTTATACATTCCAGATAGCAATTCTTTGTCAATTATATATATGTTAAAAGCATCTTGGGCTGGTGAGATGACTCAGTGGTCTAAAGCACCTAC